GTCACATAACGCCGGGCAGATATATGACATTACATCTGTTTCAGCTCAGTCCGTTTAACCGGCAGCGTCAAATGTCATGGTTTATGAACTCAGCGACATATCTCCTCATTTTATGTTTATTTGATGACTCATAATAGTTAAAGATCTTCCCAAACTCATCTGCGTTCTAATGGCTACAGAACTTTGTCCCCTGCTGTACTCGAGGTTAAACGATTGTGTACACGTGCTGTGACTGGCATGCACTTATTATAGCCATATTTTCAAATATCATCTTTTTCACTGTGATCATTTCTAGAACTGACTGTTTCCATGGTGATATTCAAATGACTTGACATCAATTTTCTTAACTTTTCTTTGATGCTACATCGTTAAAATCCCATAGTAACCTCCGATACCTTTGAGATCTTACTGCGTGGCAACTGTTGTTTCATAGCAAAATGATTTAACACCAGGTTAATGCGTAACCAAATATAGTTCTCATCCCCGTGGAACTAACGTGTGCGTGCCATCTAAACTCAGTCAAATCTTTAAAAAAAGGTTGTGACATTCTTGAAATTGACTCGAAAAACTCTCTTATTGCTTTAATATAAGCACAATCAACTTGTTTCGATTCTTGTTCTCATGTTAAAATGCCGTTCGAGGCTGTAAATTACACTGTACGTGAGTTTAGCCATTATATGCTTTTAAAATAGAAAGGTAAATGGCAATTTTACAGGTTATTGTTCTTATCGCAAAAGCAGAGGTGGAAATGTCAAACACACGCTGCTTTAGGCTGAGATACGCTTCATAAAGAAGATTAGCCGACTAGATTAGACACAGTCAATTAAAAGCACTTTAAATGCTATTATTAATGCAAATGCACAAGCACAATCCTTCTGGCAGACGTACAATGGGAAGCATACATTATGTATGGATGTAAAAGAAAAACAATCAAAGGGTGTTATTCATTAGGATGCCAGAAAATTCTGTGTTCAGTGTTTATAGTTTTATCAAAGAGAGCAAAAACAGAATGTGAGATTGCATAAGCCTTGACAAGTCAACTATGTATTGAAAAAAAAAAAAGAAGAGCAACAGCAACAACAAACAAATTGGGATCCGAATACAAGGAAGGTGAATCACGTAAAATAAAAACCATAAATTCCAGCTGCATCTTTAGAAGTGACAGATGTGGTGCTTGCCAGTCATCAGCTCCGATGGGAGTTTAATATTTTTCTGTGCGGTTTCATCTCCTTCAAACTCGCTAGATTCTGAATATTACCTGTGCATTTTTCTTAACTCTGGAAAAGTACAACATCAAAGCATTGACACATTCAATTTATATATGAACAATTCTGGGTAGATTACTTTTACAAATTGAATAAAAATTACATGATGAAAACTGTAGTTAGTAACATAATCTATTACATTACACATTTTCCGTAACATAATCGGACTACTTTTTGATGACTTTTTAGATTACTTTTGACCTAGCGTGCTTATCACATAGATTTAAATAGGATAATCTTGTACCATTTTGATATAAAATACAAAAAATAATAATCTTGAATCTTGAATTATCTTGAAAATTTGTTATCAACAACAGGAAGTGCATTAAACATTACATTACATCAGGGTTTTGGAGAGGGAACTGCAGGAAGTTTCTAAGTTAATAATAAGGTAATAAGTAAGTAAATAATTATTAATAATAACTAAAGTAATTATTAAAAACATAAAAATGTGCAATGAAAAAAAAAAGTGTATTTAACTATTATTTTATTTTTTCTAAATAAAACAAAAGATTAAATATTTTGTTTGTTTATGCCTCTCAATTTTCTGCAATAGGCTGTTTTAAAATGGAAAGAATCAATTAATTATGAATAATATACTACCATTTTGTGAATATTAAGTAATCATGAAATCAATTAAAATGTAACTTTAGTCTGATTATGAATCTAATTGAGTCTAAACATCTAATTACAAGTATATACATTTTGTAATCTGATTATGTAATCAGTTGCTACCCAGCACTGTATATGAACAACCTTAGAGACGGGCAAATGCAACACTAGAGCGAGCGAGAGCAATGCCGAGGTTCGATTCCCAGCTGATAAAAAATCAGTGTAAATCACTTTGGATAAAAGCATCTGCCATATGCATAAAAACAGAAATGTAAGACATGATGGAAACCTTCAATATGGATGGAGAAGCATACTGGTATTCAATATGGAGAAACATAGTGGGATTCTCATACATGATGGAGAGACTTAGTCAGAGAAAGATCTTTTTCATGGTAAATTTATTCGTAAATGAATCCAGATGGGATGTGTAATTAAATTATTGTAATTTGCACTCTTTATATGGTGGAAGTTATTCATCATTAAAGCTCTACAAGTATAACATATAAGCGAAACACTTGATTTTTATGACAAAAGCAAACTATTGTGACCAGTCTAACCATTAAAAAAAAAAATCATAAAACATAAAATAAAGCCGTTTTAATACAAAATGAGATGTTAAATAAATTTACCAGCATTAAAAATACTTTGATTTATTATAAATACAAGTCTATGAATTCCATATATTCAATATTGTATGAACCCCAAATATTTCATTGTTTTTCTAAAGTTATATGCAAGTATTTACATTTTAATTGCTGTCAAAACAAAGATATTGTATGCTTCAGTGTGTATCCAAATGTAAAAATGACAACATTAAACAAGTTTAGCTATGACAAATTCTGGGTTTGAACCTTCGCCCTTTTAGTCAGCAGCCGAGTTCATTAACCACTACCTGAAGAACTTATTAAATTCGGCAGTAGGACTCTAGTGATGATCTATTGTATTGGTCTCTGTATTCTTACAGGGCATCAATACAATAATGAGCTTTCTTGTGATATCGGTCCAATATCTCCCTGTGACTGTAGCCCGGCGTGCGGCTCCTGAAGATGGAGGATCCAATTAGTGGAAGAGCGTGCCGTAAATCTCAAGATAGAAACCTTCTCAGAAGTTCAACATCTAATATTCCTCAGGGAGATCTTCTCTTAATATTCTTCAATCTTCTTTCTCACTCAGTGGAGGATCAAATCAATTAAAGTAGTTGAAGTGTGATGGATGCACAAACCCACATATCGTAAGGGGGAAAAAAACGCTTGTTTTTGACACTAGAAAATTGCCTAATCTGTTACTGTGTGGAAGCGTATCATATTTTCATAAATTATTGATTCTGTCTAATAATTCATTAAACAATGTTGCTGAATAAACAGGCAGATGAGAGCATAATTCAGACGTCAGCGTTTACTATGGATTACCCTGTAGCATTGTCAGCTAAATGAAAAACCTCATAAAATGCTTTGATGAGCACAGTTTTTTTTGTTTTTGTTTTTTGTGGTTCAATTATTTTCTATTTTAACTGGACGTTGCGGGCAGGACATATTGCAAAAAAAATAGATTTTAAAAATGTTTGTCAGCTTTTAGTAGTACACTAGCATATTGATTTGTCAGCCTTGAAACTTAACACCCAGCTAACAGGGAACGTCCTGGAACTCAGAACGCAAGATTCAAAGTTCCAGAACGTTCCGGCAAGGTTCTCTCAAAGTGAAGAACAAACAAACGTTAATAGAATGTTCATTCAAATGTATCTGGTCTTTAATGACGTCAGCAAAACATTACCACGAAAACATTAATTATACATTGTTCATGGAGCGTTTTTGTCTGTAAACTTATTTCAAAACGTCCAGAGAACATTCAAAAGTAATATTCCCATAACGTTTGCTCAATTATAAACTGGACTGTTTAACGTTCACACAACCAAGAATTGTTTTTGTTTTTTTAAACTAGACGTTTTGAACGTTCAGGGAACATTCAGAAATAATGTTTTCATATCTTAATGGGAACATTAGCAAAACGTTCTGGTAGCTGGTGTGGAAGCAATTTAATATGTTCTATGTGCATTTTCTTATATTCATAGTAATTCGATTAAGGTAGTAAAATGCACGAGGATTGCATGTGGAGTCCCATGATTCTCGGCTACATTGATGGGACAAAGAACTATTAACCCTTATCTGTGTGTGTATGTGTATGACCTTGTATACGTGACTTGACAAAAAGTAATGCATGACTGAGACAAAGGGCCTTTTACACATTAGTAGTGGGATGCAACAATGTGTTAGTTATGGGACATGTTGTTCATGATGACATAGAGGGAGTCAACTATAAAGAAGAAAGGATGACCTCCCTTCTCTTTCACACTCTGCAGGCACTCTGTGTGACTGTTGGCCTTTTCTTGCAAGAGAATAAATAACCTTTAAAGACAATTGGTCTCAAATAATTGTATTTCTGTGCAGGCCAGGATAGTCTTGAGTATCCACCTTTTCCCTAACTGTGTTTTAGATTATGGGAGGCACTTCCGGTTTGGGGAAGTTCCACTCAAAAAGACTGAAACAAATCATTTCAGATCATAAGGTTGCGCTACAAATACTCCTTATCCGTCAGTTTGACTGAATGAGCTGTACAATTTCCTTCATGTTCTATTTTCAGACTTCAAGTCTTCAGACTTCAATGTGACACGGTATAACAAGGATATCTGTCAAGAACTCTTTTACAGTCGCTGGATTTTTTCCCCTCCTGATTATTTTCTTTTTTTCCTTTATATTCCGCTGTAACAGAATGAAAAAGCATAACATATACTGCGCATTGATGATCTGCTCTGATCTGATTTAATTTACGATATATCTCATTAATAATTCACTGAAACGCACTAAGAATTGTTTCTCCTCAAATCCTCACGTCTCTTTCCTGGTTTGTTTTCACATGGATGCTTTCAAATGTAATTGTCTCCCCTTTTTCCTTCTAATCTTAAATTAGTATTAGCAATGTTTACTGGAATGCTTCGAGAGCAGGTCAATATAATATGTATTGTCTGTCGCAATGACGGAAGCCAATTTGAATTATCAGTCAATGTTCCAGTTAATGAACATTTTTGATTAAGGCAACGCATGTTAGATAATACAGACATATATTACTACAGTGATATTTATTCATGGTCTGTTGTAGTAATTTCTTAATGCTTTTACACTTTTAAATGTCCTTTTATTGTTCAATGGTTGAAGGGTGTGTAGAATAACGTCATCTCAGTTTACCCAGTTTTTGAAAATGCTTATTACATTCATAGAGCGAATCTTTCGCTGATTGTTTACAGTTTAACGGAAGTTACTCCCATAATTTGTGCAAAGCATCATGGGTTGTAGGAAAAAGGTGAATACATGAATATCATTCTTTGGGATATCTGAAGCATTTTAGAGGTTATGTGATACTGAATGGCTTTACTTTTCTCTGTGTCTACAGCTGGGTGAAGCGGTCGTCGTTTGAGAACGCGTGATTATAGACACCATCTTTCCCTTTAAGGCTTGAAAGTGTGGTTACGTTATCTTTGGCTATTCCGCCGTCCTCTTCTGCAAAACCAGCAGCTTTGTCTTTGGCTCTGTGGTGGGTAAAGCATCATAAACAGGTCAGATCAGAATACAGGGAAGGTAACATCAAGGTATGTTAGTATCTAAGGCCCTGTTTACACCTGGTATTAAGATGTGTTTCGGTCGATCGGATCACATGTGGACGACACGACAGGTGTAAACGGGGTCTAAAACGTTTTGAGCTTTCGTAGTGTAAACGGTCATGTGGTCGAATGTGTTCGAACAGCCACAAAACACCGTCTGCTCTCCACCTACTGACCTAATGGGTAAAAATGATGGGAAACGCGCTAGACAGACGGATTTAAACCATGACTAAAGACCCAAGTTTGGTTTGAAGATGAAAAATGTACCAAACACAATGTTCTCTCACCATTCCGGATTTCTAACACACACTTACAGCGTTCTGCTGGTCTTACGGCTGTCAGAACAGAAATAAAAGCTGTTGCTCTCCGAATGTTTTTCCGTCGTCTCCGGTCGTGTTCATATGTAAAATGCGCAAGCTTATTTCGTCCATTAGATTGAAAGATCTGAAAAAGCCCAAACAAAGACCCTCCCCTCGAATAAATCAGGACAGAAGTGGTTGAAAGTGGACAAAAGAGACGGATTAAAACACCAGGTGTAAACGGGAATGTGTCTCCCTCGTCTACTTGTGATCCGATCGACCAAAACGCATCTTAATACCAGGTGTAAACAGGGCCTTGAAGACATCCAACAGTTTTACACAGGGATCATCGACTTTACATTTTCACACCCCTAAACATGACGCATTAAAACAGTTTACCAACCCCAAATTTTTGAATGGTAGAGTTGAAACAGAAATGAACAACTGCAACCAAATATTTTGGGGGGGGGGGACTGTACAGACCTTATGCGGCAGAGAACATTCTTTAGAATTTTGTCTTTAAACTTGTTTTTGCGGTAGCTCTGTATATTTCTATTCTAGTTACTGTAAATTCGGCCTCTACTTCATAAACGCCAGAGGATAACTGGCCCCGACTGAGCCTGGGTTCTCCCAAGGTTTTCTTTCTCCATTGGGTCATCTGATGGAGTTTTAGGACACCATCGGGTCACTTGATGGAGTTTTTTCGGTTCCTTGCCACTGTTGCCTTTGGCTTGCTCAGTTGGGGATATTCAAATTAAATGACCCATCATACCACTGATCAGCTCTACCAAACTTGGATGTCTTTTTCCAGTAACAAACAAACACTGTTAAGTTGTTTTGATTGATACTGTGAAGCAGCTTTGATACAATCTGTATTGTGAAAAGCGCTATATACATATATTTGACTTGACTGGACTATTGCATTGCTGTCGAAGAGTAATTAGCTAGTGAAGTGGATTTAGTCATTGTAGAGTTAATGAAAGTTATCATGAGCATTGTAATGTTCGAAACGGATGTCATAACAAATGTCAGTAGACCGCAAAGATTTTAAGACAAGCGGTTCATTCATAAATCCGTAAGATCTGACCTCCATGCTGTTGAAATACAAACTGGAAGCCAGAACACAACGAGCGCAGCGCTGAAAAGGGGGCGGAGCTACATAAGCTCTATACAGTACATATGAGAAAGGACAGTTTAACATTTAGTTTAGTTTGCTCTGCTGTAATGTAATCACGCCTATACAAAAGCTTAGACAAAATGTGATCACTTGTGGGCACAGGAGATTAAATGTGTGGTTAAACCTCAGTCTGTCTTGTGATCAGATCGCCTGAGATGGATGTTAATAATTTAAATGAAATGGTCTGCCAAAAGAACATTACTGACCGTCGTCTTTTGCTAACTGTAGACGTCAGTAAAGCCATGATCCCCACAGCCACAGCACCTATGACCACACCAAACACGATGAGCCATGGAGGAGTGTCGTATGTGACCGGGGCCGCCAGCGTCGGCGGGATTCCCACGAACTCCAGGGTCATGTCCGATAACAGGAACGCACTGTTTATGCGATGCTTACTCAACCTGGAATTATAAATCACGTGTTAGGGAATCTGGCAAGCTAAAGGATAATCTTCACAGGTCTAGATGACCTATCCACCTGATTTTGCAAGACAGAAGTGAAGAATTCATTAGCTGCAATACACTCTTAGGAAAAAAAGGTTCAATGAGGTTCTAATTAAAACCCTAGGGTTCATGACTTTAAAGAACGCTTTATGCCAAAAAGGCTCTATATAAGGAGAAATGTCTTAAATGACTGGAAAATACTTTCATGTTTATTTAAAAAAAGTATGAGCTGTTTAATTCATAAAATATTAAATATTATATTATCTGCGAAAACAGTTTAAGATTTGAAATACACTACAAGTGCACATTAAATACAGTTAAGCGCACAAGGATAGTAAGCATTCAGCAAGGCGACTCAGTTGAAGTGTTTAAAGGTACAATATGTAAGATTTTGTAATAAAATATCCAAAAATCACTTGCACAGTGTGATATATTTCCTGCAGTTGGGTACTTACAATATCCCAAAAGTATCCAAAGATTTTTTATTTCAGAGAAATCCCAATTTTAAATAAGTGGCCATCCCGGAAAAAAATGTCGCCTGTCAATGACGCAATATCCGCGCTATCCTCGGTTTCCGTTCATACTGCCATAGCCATGACGTAACCATGGCGACAGACGCGGACAACTGCGTAGTGCATAACGTTTAGCGGCACAAAGTTCTTGTTTCTTTCAAACATAGACCATGGCAAGCAGACTTTAGGACAAACAAGGAGAACTAAGATGAGGATCAATATCAGCGTGGCGTTTTTGAGATGCCGAGAGCTCCACGTCCGCGACTAACTTGGACTCGACAGAGCTTCACGAGTCACGACTTGACAGCTTTATTAGACAGGTGAGCAAATGTACATAAAACAAATCAATGTTATATAACGTTAGCTCAACATGATGAAATGTTAGAATATGGTCAGTATGTTATTCTAATGTTGATCTAGCTCACTGCTAGTTTCGTATAGCAAACGAACTAACACGTAGTATAACATTATAACTTTCAACACACATTTAAATGCCGTTTAGTGTGATAGTGTAACGTTAGACCAAGTGAACCAGCGCTGCGTTCCCTCACATGTTTAATTCGTCTAATAAACTGACCTGTGTCAGCACTTGCGGGTAGTTCAGTAGAATTAAATGTCCTTATTCCTTTATATCCGCGGGACTCGCGTGTGATATCTGTCTCTTTAGCAATCGCGACCTGCTTCATACCACTGTAATGTTAAAAACATGAATGTTTGAACTCATCTATAAACATTATTAGATCCATCAGCTTGACAGCAAGTCCCATCATTCAGCTCATCACTGCGTCATCAACCTACGCCTTTGTTATTGTTGGAAACTGCACCCTCTTGTGGCGGAAAAAAACCTACATATTGTGCCTTTAAAACAGCCGTCACGTTGATGGCCATGTGCAGTCTACCAGTTAGTGAGCTATCTGCACATAAAGGCTAACCCTATAACCTGCAGCACAGCATTGACTCACCTCACTGCTTCCTCCACTTGTTCTTTGGGGATCAGTTGGGTTGGATCATCTGGCGATGTCACCACGAACACGAACGACACTCTTTGGGTATCATTGCACACCAGTATGTTTGCAATACTGGAAAAGATTATTTAAATGAGAAAAATAGATGTAATCATTATTTTTGTGAGGCTAATGGTGTGGCTGGTGTTTGTTATGTGGTGATTTTGGTTGCAGTACAGGAAAAAATAAATTAAATTTTTTTTGTAATAGAGGGCATAGAAAATGCACTGGAAATGATAAAACAGCCTCAGACAAACACACATACACTTACACAGCAAAAAACAACAACATTTTGGTCATTGATATAAGAAGAAAAAATTGTGTGAGATAATAAAGCTTTTTTTTTTAGAATACATTTTGAATTTATGTTTATTAACTATGTTTCTTAACAAATTTTTTTTTCATGTTTTAAATCTAATTTGTCTAATTTAAATCATCTAGTGTAAAATTGTGTGAGATCGTAAGGCTTTTTTTAGAGAATATATTTTAAATCTTTTGTTTCGTAATTGTTTGTTAACTAATTGTTTTTTCATGTTTTAAATCTAATTAGTGTACACATTGTTGACAAAGTTAACTTTTAGCAGTCACAAACATTTCAAATGTACATGTTTATTACCCAGAAGAAGGCTGTTTGCGCCGCTACACGTGGGTCGCTTCTCCTTATGTCTTTTAATTTTCTATCATGAAATAGCCAGTAAATAAAGGCTTTGTAAATAATTTTGAAGAAGAGTGCCTTGGATTTTTTCTTTTCTACATTTAAAATGTACAGTCTGGGAAAACAAAGAAAAAATCAAAGACTTTGATTTGATCAAATGCTCTTACTAATAAGATTGTCCCTTCTACTAATATCTACTATAACTGTGATGCTAAATCCTATTGGATATATATATATACATTTTTTTTTTTTTTTTTTTTTTTTGGAGGATGAGGATGAGCCCTTTAACATGTCCCAAATTTCCTACTTAAAAAGGAAATGTGTCAATAAATACTTAAAAAAATATTTATTTGCCAATTTCAACATAATATGATATAATGATGATTATGATTATCAGAAATGTTTTTTGAGCATCAAATTATCATATTAGAATGATTTCTGAAGGATCATGTGACACTGAAGATGGGAGTAATGATGCTGAAAATTCAGCTTTGCATTACAGGAATAAATTCCATTTTAAAATATATTTAAATTGAATATACAGCTTATATATTACATTATTTTTGTTCAAAGAAATGCTGCTCTTACCCCAAAATTTTGAACGTTAGTGTATATATTCTCTTAAGTCTTATTATTTGATGCAGTTTTGCTTCTCAAGTAAATAAATAAAAAAGTATCTCGTTTTAAGGATGCATAGTTATTAATAAAATAATTGCCAATAAATCAGTAAATCACAATAATGTCAGTAGACTTAGTTTCCGGGTTGTATACTGGATGCAGCCAGTAAGAATCAAGCAGACGCAGGCGTCTCATCAATGTAACATGATGCTGCAAAAGAACCACACGCTCCCTATCCAGCGTCCCGCCATCAATCAATACTGCGCTTCTCTCACAAACAAGCCTCAAGCATCTCTGCAACACTTCAGCTGTGAGATTTCACAATCGTTAGGGGCCGATATCTGGCTGGGAAAGGTTAACCGCAATTGATTTCCCTTGACCCATTAGCATCTATATCGGCCCGTAATTACACCCGCAAAATTAATCAGTCTTGCTTTCCCTACAACTGAGAGCGGCTCAATTGCATGAATAGAATTAAGGGGAAAAACATTTAATCCACTAAAACAGGACAGTCCTAAAAAAACATCATGCATTTTTCTTTTCACCTGTAGATGATCACTGTTATTATTAAATGTGTAAAATTACTGCTAGATCATTGGGCTTTGGTAATAATCCGTCATTACACAAAATGATATCTACTCATTGCACATCAAACCTCATTCGGAGAAAAAGCATATCCAGCGGACAGCAACATTACCTGATATGTGATATTTTGTCAGATTTCATTTTAAAGCACATCAATTATCTAATCTTAATATAATCTTAACAAATGTAATTGGAAAGCTTCTTTGAATTATCTGTCAAATGAATAATATGTGATATAAATAACTCGGTCGAATCTATCACACTGAGCGTAACGCTTCATTTCACTAAATTCACTAGCATTTTATAATACATTTTTGAAGCAATGTGAGCGGTCCTTGCCTGTACAAAAGGTGTTGTTGCTATGGGAGTATTTTCACCTGTTTTAAACCCGCTAGGCGAAAATCATAGGTCTGAGCACAAATCATAGACATATTATCCCAGGGCAAACAGAGTGTGATGAGAAACATGGCAAAGTATGCTACTTAGGGTTAGGAGTTTGTTCAAATTCCTAACTCAAGTGAGAAAAAGAAAAGTAACTGGAAAGAAAGATAAGGAAGGCTGTTGAAATGCTGGTCTGGCCTGGAAGCTGATATAGATTTGCGTGTCAGCAGCGTAGCAATGGAATCTGAGACCGTGCCGTCAAATTATTTGCCGAAGGGGAGGCACATAAATTGGAAAGAGGAGAGGGCCGTGATTGGAGCCTTGGGGGACACACCGCGTTAGACTGGAACAGTACATGATCTATGTTCCTCAATAGATACAAATTACTGCCTTGTGCTAAGAAATGATGTTAGCCAGAGGAAAACTCTACCAGTGATGCCGATGGCTGATAAGCGGTGCGTAGAACATAACGGCAGACCAGCTCCAAAACTGACGGATATTAAGATTTCATGCTTGAAATGGAAAACACCTCTGTAATTTTTTACACAAAAATACACGTTACACAAAACAATGCAAAGCAATGTAACGTTATATAATCTTAGTTAATCTGAAATTGTTAACCCCTTTGTCATTGTGTAACATGTAATGTAATGCAAAGTTACAACATAAAACAATGCAAAGCAATGGAGCTCAACGAAAGCAATGCAAAGCGATATAAACTCATATAAACTTGCTTCATCTGAAAGCATGTTCTCATTTGAATATTTATGAGATTAATAACATTGACAGGACAAGTACAGCATGCAGCAATCAGGCCAGATTTAATAACTGTTTTTCCATCTAGAAATGTTGCCAAATAATTCACTTTAGTTGTCTCAAGTCCTCTGAAACACTACCAGATTCCCTCAGGTACTAAAAGTGCACCCAGCATTTGAAAGTGTCTGCAGCCGTGCAAAGCACATGCATATTTAATGAAGCAAGCGTCGAGGAAGCTTGCGATTGGCTGTCTGTGTCTAAACAACCCATGTTGCATTTTAGCAGCTCAATGTTTCACACTGTTGCAACCGTTGACTGGTTTATAGCCTTGTCGGGACATTTGCTCCTGACAGCGATGACAAAATCTGCCCCTCTCCCCCACATGCATGACTAACACAGAGACATGACTCTTACTAACCGGCTGTGGTCAAACCATTCCGCTCACGTTTTCAATCACAATCAAAGTGGTCATCGCACACACAGCCATGGATTGACCAGTTTTGCCGTTGATTATCTTGTGTTAAGTGTGTCATCATGTCGTGTGTGGGCGAGTGGCGGTCTACTCACTTGTAGTTTGTGTCCTGATTAGATTTATTAGCGCGATTCATCGCAAACGCCAGAGTAGATTGGAAGAGAAACATCTCACTCTTATTCCACTCATACTGAGAGAGAGAGAGAGAGAGAGAGAAAATGTTTAATTATTTAACATTCTGCACAGGAGATCAATATGCCTGAATAAAATTATGAAACTAAATGAAAAGAGGTGAAACAAAACCAAACCCTACTGCTTTATCTCCGAGGGCCGTCTTAATGCTGAGTCTGACTTTAAATCCAGCGATGCTGTCTACAGAGAGAGAGACAGAGAGTTTATTCACAAATAATCTTGTGTTGTTGTTGTGTAGACCCGTGTACTTCCTGTTCTTTGTGGGCTGATAAGGTTTCTGCAGTGTGTGTCCTTATTTACCGTCCTCCTAAAAGATCCTCGTTTGGGAATTGATTCGTCACTTTATTTCTCAGTGGTTTCTCAAGTGGATGAGATAAGATGCCAAACAAGAAACTGAGTCTGTATTTTTGGTCAGACAACAAAGTGGCATAATCAAGTTTAGGATGTTTAGATGCTGCAGCGATGCTTTTTTATCCTTATTTAAACTCTCTTGAAGACATTTCACTGGAATTTCACACTCCCTCTGAACAGTTTCACTTTCTTCTTTCCCTGAAACGTATCCTGAATTGAGTTCCCTGGCCTTTTCCTGGCGAATATCTCAAAAACATCACAAAATAATAGCGAAAAAGGTTTTGTATAAACACAGTGAAGCCTATTTTAGGGGCATTATGATTTGTCAATTAAATGCAGGATTATTATTGTTAACTTAATCTGAACTCATAAACAACATTTTTGTTGAAACAAAATAAATGTTAAGTCAAATAAAATAAAAATAAATAAATAAAACAAGGTAACATCTCATTTATTGTAACTTGAAGTACTAAAATAACTAATAAATCAATTTAATTAATTCATATTATATAGACATATTTTAAAAACCTAATAAAATAACAAAATTGAACACAACAAAACAATAAAAGCAAAGTGAAAACAGAAAATATATATAAAAAAAATAATTCTAATTAAAATATTAATAAAAACTATAATAAAATAACATTGATTAAATGACAATAAAGGACATTTTCTGTAAAATTAGAGAGATTTTACTTTTTATATTTTTTTGTAAATAAGTATTTTTTTAAGTGTTTTATTACATAAAATGTAAATACATTACATTTAAAAAGGCAGTACAAAATACTTGCAATTCAAATCATATATAATTTTTTTTTTTTTTGCATTGCAGTAACAATGAGATGTTTTCCCAAAAACTATTATAATGAGATTTTTACAATGAGAAGTGTGGAAAAGTGTGCTTGTAAATAGGGCAGCAAGACATTGAAGAAAAGTGCTATAACTCGTTAAATAATGCAATATGCGTTACAATAATGTGCAAAACAGAAATTGAATCATCAAATGTAAAAATAAAACTTCCCTGTATGAATTAAATAAACACTTATTAAGACTTAAAGCTATAAAAGTTATTCAGTCAAGAGCAGCGAGTGATTTTCTCTTTGATTTGATCATAACCGACGCGAGTAGGATATTCACATTTATGATATTTCGATATATTGTGTTGCCCTACATGAAATATAAAATTATAAAAAAAAAAGTTTTTTAAGATCCTCCAGTTTATTAATTAAACTGAAAAAGAAAGACATTATTATCTGTAAATTCTCAATTGTAACTAGATGAATTTTCTAGTATATTAGTCAAAGTCAAAGTCAAATTTATTTATAAAGCACATTTAAAACAACTTCTGCTGACCAAAGTGCTGTACATATGGAATCAGTTAATCAGAATAAAATAACAAAATAATAAATACAATAGAACATAGAACAAAGTAGTGGGACGGCCAATGTAACCTGCTTATTCAGTGTTGAAAGCTATAGAGAACAGGTGTGTTTTTAGCCTGCATTTAATCTCTATCTTTAGCATATTAATCTTTAGCACTACTACTCAGCTCCTCAAACGGCTCAAAGAGTGCTCCAGGTTTTCTTTCCACTTTGAAAAAAGACTGCGAGATTAAACATGACTGTTAGTCTGAACTGAGAACAGATGACCAACCCTCGGCAGGCACAAAGATCACAGGAAAACAATTCACTCAAACAGACACAGTTTCTCACACAACTCCACTTGAGATGTTTTACCTTTACACAGATCTTTGGCTGCCGTGGGCGGCAGGAGTATCAGGAGAAGAACTGCGATGCGCATCTCTGGATATTTGGATGAGCTTTAACACATACGCCACTGAATTCAGCGCTCAAGAGATTATAAACCGCTCAGAACATGAGATACAAAGGGCTGGACGGAGCCGCTTAATGGTTAAGCAATGACTAGACCTTCCTCCAGAGAGAGAGAGAGAGAGAGAGAACAAACACCATATATTCACATAGTCTAAAAACTGTCAGCCGAGAACATAAATGTACATGTAAAAGGATTGCTGCTTGCTTGGCTGGCTCGGGTTGTTTCTGCTGTGAAATTATAATGGGAGTGTGTAAACAGCTGTTCTGTTTGCTCTCAGGTCTGTGAGTGCATATGAACGTTAACGCGTATGATTTCTCTTCATCATATTCATAACAACAGATGCGTCTGCGCTGACCTGCGTTGTTTTCATCCCTGCGCTGTTTTTTCTTCTGTTATGCCTGTCTTCTCGTCTCTATATGTAAACACAGGCTGTTTACAGCGGTGCCGTGTGTGATATCAATATGAATCTGAACGTCATTTTGACTTCTGACTTTCTTCTGTTGTGTAAAGTTGCGTTGTTTTGTTTTTATGATGCGTTTCCGAGTACGCCGTCGGTAACTGCACTTCAGAGTGACGGCGTACTCACGAACGTGGGTCAGGCATGGGGCGTGTCTGATGCTGGGTTGTTTCAACCCAAATTTGGGTCAAATATGGACAAACCCAAATGTTGGGTTAAAAATGTAATTAAAAAATGTACAGGTGAAAGTTGAAGTTGGGTTAAAATTTTAAATTACGTTTTTAACCCAACATTTGGGTTTGTCCATATTTGACCCAAATTTGGGTTAAAACAACCCAGCATTGTTTAAAGGGAAATCAGTTCTCAGATGAAGGCTGTTCTTTCTGTGAACCCCTGATGATTGAATCAAACCACTTCTTCCGCATCTTTCCTTGAAAGCTTTTCAAGACCAGGAAAAGACACGTCAGACAAGAAACAAGTTTGATGGTTAACCAATCCTCTGACACTGCGAGATGAGGAAACATTCAGTCAGTTAATTTGTCACCTAATAAAGAGACCAGGTTTACTCATTTATTGTCACACTTCAAGTGCCATTATATACACTACCGTTCAAAAGTTTGGGGTCGGTACGATTTTAAATACTTTTAAAAGAATTCTCTTCTGCTAACCATGGCTGCGCTTATTTGATTAAAAATACAACAAAAATCAGTTATAGTGTTAAATATTATTCCAGTGTAAATCAGCTGTTTTCTGTGTGAATATATAGTAAAGTGTAATTTATTCCTGTGATCAAAGCTGAATTTTCAGCATCACCAGTGTCAGTGTCTTCAGTGTCAAATGATCCTTCACAAATCAGTATAATATGAGGATTTGATGCTCAAGAAACATTTATTATTATTATCAATGTTGAAACAGTTGTTGGTCTGTCAGTTGTACAGTTTTTTTTTTTTTTTTTTTTTTAGGATTCTTTGATGAATTGGAAGTTCAAAAGACTTTTGTAACATTATAAATGTCTTTACTGTCACTTTCGATCAAATTAATTATTCCTTGATAAATAAAAGTATTGATTTCTTTCCTCCAAAAAATAAAAATAAAATTCTCACTGACCCCAAACTTTTGAACAGTAGTGTATATTTTAGGCTCGGTATTTAAAAGAAAAATAAATGACTACTTTTATTCGGCTGATAAAAAGGAACAGTAAGGACAATTTTAGGCTTAAATTTCTGTCAAATAAATGCTGTTCTTTTGAACTTGAAGTATCATATTGTTGTTTTCGATCGATAATAGTATATAGCATATTAGAATGATTTCTGAAGGATCATGCGACACTGAAGACTGGAGTAATGATGCTGAAAATTCAGATTTGATCACTGGAATAAATTACTTTTTATCTGTTTTCTATTTGAATATATTTTATTTTGAATTGAAATACTTTCCCACACAATATTATACTGTTTTTAACTGGATTTTGTTTAAATAAATGCAGCCTTGGTGAGCATAAGAGACTTGCTTAAAAAAAAAAAAACTTTCTAAAACTCTAACACACACCATTTAAAAGTTTGAGGTTGGTGTATATATATACTCTTTGAATATTAGATAAAAGCAAATATTGTAACTTGCTGTAAGAACACTAAAATAAATAATTTGCTTAAGATAAGATAAAATAAACAACCTTACAACAAGATAAATGTATTTGATAAGCAAAATAGCATCAGATATTAGATTTTCAGAGAATATATCTTGAACAATGTTTTTTCTTATAGCCCGTGGCAATTTTCTAAGCATAAACTCACTAAATTTTGTTACATTTATGCTTAAAACAAGAAACAATACTGCCAACAGGGTAAAAAAACAACAATGCCTAATTCAAGAAATCTGAAAACAAGACAGAACATCTAACTCGTGGAAATATATCTTATTTTCAGAGGTTTAATTAGATTTTTTTAAATGGGATTCTGCTGTGTGCTTCATAGGATTTTGGTGCCGTTTCAATTACTTTTTCCACTTCAGCAAATTCCAAACCGGATAAAGTCATATGAGACTCTCTTTAGAAGTTGTTAGATAAGTGTCTGTCATGTAAATGTCATAAAATGTCACGCTTTGCTAACTGAGTGAACTATTGTTCACGTGAGAGTTTCAGTCAACACTCAAGAGCTCATCCTTTATAGTGGGACTGAGGATGCATTAACTCGAGCAAAGTCCAAGATGACCCGAGGTGGAGGGAAGTAGGCCTATACGGCCGTGCATGTATTTCAGTCCTCAGTACGCTTTCAGACAGTATTCGAATCGAGGCGATACTGTAAGTTGCTGTGTGAACGGGACATTTCGAGACTCACACCTGTAAGTAAATGCGGTTGTCAATCCAAAAAACTGCGGTGTGAACTTAGTCAGTTGTGTTATTAGAAATAAAATCTGGCTGAGGTTATGACAGGTTCAGTTCTTCTTGTGTGGCCTGTGAAGTGTCTGTTCTGTTGATGATAGTTCATGAACTAACTCAACCTTTCATTACCATTTCATTATCATTTATCACCCCATTAGTCTGAGTGCACTTACCCGACACAAGATGGCAGTACCGATCTAATGGAGTCTTCTCAAACTCTAACGGAAGTCATTAATACAGACCAACAAAGTTGATTCATCCAAAATATTCAAAATATCTGTGACTTTTTTTTTTTTTTTTACCATTTGATCCATGTCAAAAACATAGATTAATACAATTTACCATTTGAAATTGCAACTCTCTTTCAAGTTGAAATAAATAAACAGATAAGTATAAACAAATGCCTCTAGCAATTTAATTTTTTTTCCTAATATTAAATATTTTAAATCAAATGCAAATGTAGCCCACATATAAATATTTGATATAAATATAAAATGTTAAATAATGTCAATGTTAAGTCTTTAAACATTGAATATAAAATGTAAATATAAATATTTTATATAAATGTAACTTTTTAAATGCAAATGAAATTAGGCATTTTTAAATGCAAATCTTGAATATAAATTGAAATATCAATTCAATATTAAATAATGTGAAAATAAATATTACATCTAATAGTCTAAAATAAATCTCAATCTTCAAAAGAAACGTAGATATTAAATCTGCATTATTTGAAATAAATTTTAGTTTTGAAGCAAGTGCACTGAAATATTTTTTTATCTAAATTGTGTTGACACAATTTAAACATTTATTTTTAAAGTCTCTCTCTGTATATATTAAAATAGATTTCATATATATCTATTTTAATGTGCATCAGTAGAATTACTCAATAAATTGTAGATATTACCACTAAATATTAAACCTGGTGTGTAGTGAGGGTTTTGTGTGGTTGTGTGGCGCCTCCGTGCGGTCGGATGTGGAACTGAGAGAGATTTAGCAAATCTCCATCTGAGTTCACAGTGTGAGTGTGTGTGTGTGTGTTAATATGTGCCTGTGCTAGAGCACCGCAGAGCGCCTCCCTCCGCCACAGGGCCACGGAGAGGCCGTTCGTCTGCGGCTCGCGCTCGGGCATGGATCCGGGATCTGCCGCGGGCACCGGAGGGACCTTCCTCTCCCTGAGCGACAGTGAGCAGAGATGTTACTCCGGGCTGTACGCGCTCTGTCAGCCCGACAGCCTCGGCAAACCGGCGGCGGGGAAAGTGGCGGATCTGTTCCGGGCGTCGCAGCTGCCGGCCGAGACGCTGCACCAGGTGAGGGGGTTCACGCGGGTCTCAGCGACGCGACGCCCCTGAACGCGTGTCTGGGGGACGCCCTGAGATATTCAGATCTGCGCTGGTGTCTGTCTGGATGTACAGTACAGTACAGTATCAGTGTGTTCAGGAAAGAGTGAAGTTGAGGAACCAGCTTGTGGTTCGAGCTCATATGGTATCAGATGTTAATATAGTTCTCTAATATAGGCTACTATGGATGAATGATTACCATATTCATTCGCCATTGTAGTGACACAGTTCTCCAAGATACTTAAATTAATTTCATAGTATTCCCATGATACCATGTGCAAAAACATGTGCTTTTTGGCACTTGAATATACATGTGCTTTACATTGTGTAGTGTACATGGAGTATTAGATGCAATAGTGTTGATATTAAAGTATACACATAGATCATACAATATATAGCCTACACCTTCATAGTATACTACATAGTATATTATACTCATTTGATATCTTGTTTGTTCTTTGTGCAGTTGATGGAATAATATGGTAACACGATGGTCTAGTGATATATTTTGACCATGGTATTGAATGATTGCCATATTTATATACTGTGTTGTTGCTGTATACCATGTCAAAACGTGTTTATACTAGATGCTACTAGTATGCACTCGTTTTAGTGGGATATTATTTTCTTACAGATGCTTATCTGAGTCTCACTTGATAGTGTTTGAGGAATACTATGATTTATCTTGTTGTAAATAATTCAAAGTAATTGCAGTTACATGATTGTAAAAGTATGGTCATGTGCTTGTTTTGAAGGCGTTTCGCTGGTTTAATCAGTTTTAAACACTTCTATCAGTTCTGTCTGATAATCTATCACTTCTGTCAGTTTTGAGGAGCATCTGAAGCCTCGTTCTTTGCAAACATCAGTGTAGTGAAGCGGTTCTGCTGATCTTACTAGGCACTTTTGTAGAGTACTAGTAAATGACGTGTCGTGTGTCAGTTGACACGTCATGTGAGTCAGGTGAAAGGTGTTTACCATGTTCAGCCAGTCTTAGTCTCCGTGGGTGGTGTTCAAATACTGCTACTCGGTCCAAATGTGTCTGTTGTCACTGAGGGTGCTGAATAGCTGTGTGTTTGTAAGTGTGTGAAATGTGTGTGAGATGACAGGAAGGGTGCTGCCTCGTTCACACACAGATAACACTGGGCTGGACTGCCTCACCATCCACAATAATTCCTAGTTTCACTTCAGTATCCTTGGAAAGTTTTGCATGTTGCTCTGGTTTACATAAACCAGTAAAAGGGTTTAACAACATTGACCATATTTAGAAACGTATTTTATTGTAGTATGTCCGAATGGGTCGGCTCGGCTGTTTGTTCACACTAAATGTGTGTTTTTCTGTGTGATGTTGATCTGTTTTTTGGATGGCAGTGTGTAACTAACTAAAATCACATTAAATTTGAAATTTTGCAGATCCAATCTCTGCCACATTCATATTTGGAATTGGAACAGTGTTATTTTATGATCGTTGATTATAGTTTTTATTAATATTTTGAATTTGTTTTATTTTTATATTTTAAGTTTTAATTTTCGTTTAAGTTAAGGTCATTTAGTTCTCTTGTCATCTTAGTTTATTTTTAATATGTCTGTAGTTTCTATCATTTTTTATTTCAGTTTTTTTTTTGGTATATTTTTTTAATTTCTGTTCATATGTAACTTTTTTTTGTTAAATAACTTTTTTAAATGGTTTTAGTTTACTAAAAAGTTAATAAAACCCTGATTTGGAAGTAAGTAAATATGATACAGATTTTATTTTATTTTTTATTTTATTTTTTTGCTATGTGACTTCAAGATCACTATTTCAAATAAATACTGTTCTTTTGAACTTTCTATTCATCAAAGAATCCTGAAAGAAATTTATCACGTGACGGTTTACAAAAAAAATGAAGCAGCACAACCGTTTTCAACATTGATAATAAGCATCATATTAGAGTGATTTCTGAAGGATCATGTGACTGAAGGATCATGTGACACTGAAGACTGGAGTAATGATGCTGAAAATTCAGCTTTGATCACAGGAATAAATTACATTTTACAATATATTCACATAAAAAACATAAAATATACTAATTTTAAATTAAATTTCACAATAATACTCTTTTTACTGTATTTTTGATCAAACAAATGCAGCCTTAGTGATCAGAAGAGACTTCTTTCAAAAACAATAAAAAAAATCTTACAGACCCCAACCCTTTGTAGGCCTCATGATCTCATATCATGTAGAAGATGATTTCTAAGATCTTTGTGTTCTGGCTCATGCTATAGATTTCCTACAATTTCAGACACAAATAATTGAGTGTAAACATAAACGTATATAAAAAGAGCTGTGTGTCAGCAGGCTTTGGCATGGCGTACAGTTGCAGTGTGTCATCTCGTGGTGTTCTTGCACAGACAGGAAGTCCAGCTCGTCCTTCTGCTCTGTTTCCTGTCCGTTTGCCCCGGTGTGGCGACCCATACTGACTTCACCCCTCGACAGACATGCGAACAGCAACACACACACACACACATGCGCAAAGATATTTAGGGAGGCCGTATTTTCAGGAAGTTTCACACACCTAGACATGACATAGACATCATCAGAATGATTTTTGGATGTCATTTTTCTCTTGAACTGTTTGTTGTTGCTCTGCTGTTTTGTCAAATGCATGTTTTCCCTTAAAGACAGTCACAGCATGAAATCAGTTTGGACCCTTTCATCCTGAAGAAGGCTGTGCTGATGAAACTCGAGAGGAACAGGAGAGTCGAGGTGCGCGTTTGATTCTGCTGTGAGTTGGGCAGCTGTGGTTTATGTTTGAGTACCTGGACATCCCTTTCAGTCATCTTCCTCTTGCGTCGACGCTTCCTCCTGTTGGATGAGGTTTGTCCGACATTACCCTGGATTAGGGGTGTAACAGTATATCGTGTCACAATATATCGCAATACAAAAATGCAACAATATCTATCATGGATATTAGGGCTGCACAATATTGAATAAAAAGTGATATGCGATAACTCATTAAATAATGCGATATTTGAAATGTGATATGATAATGATAAAAAAGTGTGTAATGTAAACTTAAATTATCTTTAGAATGTATTTAAAATAATATAACTACATACACTCACCTAAAGGATTATTAGGAACACCTGTTCAATTTCTCATTAATGCAATTATCTAATTGCACAATCTGCTCAGTTACTGGGATTTTCACGCACAACCATTTCTAGGGTTTACAAAGAATGGTGTGAAAAGGGAAAAACATCCAGTATGCGGCAGTCCTGTGGGCGAAAATGCCTTGTTGATGCTAGAGGTCAGAGGAGAATGGGCCGACTGATTCAAGCTGATAGAAGAGCAACTTTGACTGAAATAACCACTCGTTACAACCGAGGTATGCAGCAAAGCATTTGTGAAGCCACAACACGCACAACCTTGAGGCGGATGGGCTACAACAGCAGAAGACCCCACCGGGTACCACTCATCTCCACCACAAATAGGAAAAAGAGGCTACAATTTGCAAGAGCTCACCAAAGTTGGACAGTTGAAGACTGGAAAAATGTTGCCTGGTCTGATGAGTCTCGATTTCTGTTGAGACGTTCAGATGGTAGAGTCAGAATTTGGCGTAAACAGAATGAGAACATGGAACCATCATGCCTTGTTACCACTGTGCAGGCTGGTGGTGGTGGTGTAATGGTGTGGGGGAGGTTTTCTTGGCACACTTTAGGCCCCTTAGTGCCAATTGGGCATCGTTTAAATGCCACGGCCTACCTGAGCATTGTTTCTGACCATGTTTTACTGTAGCATAAGAAGTAAGTGTTATTTTAACATCAGTGTAAACCACAGGGTTTAGGGTTTCAGGAAAGCCTACATTAGGTTTATTTAAAAACAGAAACCGAATAATCAAATGTAAAAATAAACACCGCTTAGTTATCACTGTATGAATTAAATATATACTGATTCTTATTAAAGCTACACAAGTTATTCAGCCAAGAGCAGTGATTTTCTCTTTGTCTTTTGTTCATGATCCCAGTTATTGCAAGCTTTTGCAATATGCATAATGCGATGTATACATTTGCAATATTTCAATAATTTCTATATATTGTGCAGCCCTAGTGGATATGACAATATGTATTGTGTGTAGTTAAAAAAAAATCTAGTTTTTAGTTACCAGTAAAAAGTGGCCTATACATCTAGTCAGTGAAAGAGTGCAAGCATATTCGCTTCAGAATCATGAATTCGTTTTCAGCTTCAGAATCATAAATATTTTTATTCTAGTGTGTCACCATTGTCCTGTGCATTGGGTTTCCAGCACCAAGTCCAAGCCTATTCATTTACACCCCCAATGTAATACCAAATTTTGAATCAACAGTTTCATGTCTTGGGGTATCGCAATAATATGGTATTGTGAGTTCAGTATCGTGACTTGAGGGTATTGTTACACCCCTACGGCCTGGAGAGACCAACATGGCTCTCGATACACCACAAAGACTTGCTGTCCTGGTCACAGTGAGACCTGAGACCTTGCTCACCTGGAGCCAGTGAGACACACCAACAATTTGTCCTCTTTTGAACTCTGATATGTCTCACGTTGTTGTGTGGATTGCAAAAGCTATGCTATTGCTCTGCTAATTCAACCTTCACACTCTGCTCTCTCACTGAGGGAATGTAAAATCAGTGAAGATTGGCCACAAGGCGCGTTTATTAAGTAATGAAGTAATGCACTTTTTTTTCTGTGATTTTAGTTAGTTTAATAACCCTGGCCCTCGGTGTCTCGATAATCTCCAGTGTCCCCTCAGACCCTCATTAAAAGTCAGTCGAGTGAAGTGAGATGATGTGAGATAATTAAAGCGATACACCGCTGAGAGAGAGGCGTGTGTGTGACGGGGAATAGAGGAGGCATTGTGTGTCTGTCAGTAAGCTCTTATGAGTCTGCGGGATTCATATCAGCTCTCAGCCGCTCAGACCCTGGTGTTGATCTCTGCTCTGTAATGATGGA